ACAGTATGCTATACACATTCTGCAGTCCTTGGTTGGGAGCATTAATGCTCATGGGGGGGGGGGGTAAGGTAAGGGGGCCAAATTGATGCCGGCAGTGGTGCGGGGCATTGGCTAAGTGCGTGGCATGTGTGTGTTTGGGGGGGGAGACAAACATTGTAAGTCACATGGAGGGAACAATAGGGTTTAGCAAGAGTAACAGGTGGGGCAACAGTAGTGCCCAGTGGGGGGTGATGGGAGCAACAGTATAGAGAGAGAGAGTGGGAGGGCACCCAGTAGGAAGGGGTTGGAGAGGAACGCTAGTACTCTGCAAAGGTAGCAGTAGTGCACAGGGGAAGTGCGGAAGAATGTTCATGCACAGCGGAGGATGAGGAAAAACAATGTTGCCCAGCAAGGAATAGGAGGGTGGAGAGCAAAAATAATGCCCAAGGCGGAGAGGATCAATAGTGAAATTAGTGTCAGGAGAAAACACCTCGAGCAGAGGTCTGTGTCCCACATTGCTGCACTCTCCATCTCCTCTCTGTCAGAACTATATAGACCCTGTCGGGCAGGAGATCAGAATCTTTTACACAGAGTCTGCATAGAGTTGGAGCCGGGTACATTTATGCCATGTACATGTAGTTTTGACAGCATTCTATGACATTATGACATTGGTCCATATATAAAAAATGACTGGGTTCTGAATATGTATATAAGGCACTGACCCATTACAATGTAGTTTACTACTCTTGACCATGGTGTCTGTTGTGAACAATATTTGAATGCTAAACAGCCATATTTGCACCTGTACTGGTGTTATAGCAACATTCTCTTTGCTGCCAGTCTTCTTCTGGCAGACCCTGCATTTATATTATATTTTAGTTATTTAATAGTTCTGCCATGAATTAGGCCATGTAATTTTACCACAAATTTCTGATTCTAGGTCTTGCATGAGTTGCATGAGTAAAAAAAAAACTAACACAAAATCATCTAAACAAACTTGACTATTATACTTTTTAAATATAATTAGTCAAAATTTAGGTCAGGGACTATGAATCACAGGGCCCCATAGCAAAATTTTAATGAAGCCTTTGGCTAACTCTCTGTAGTGTCATCTGTGTCAACTGTGACAATACATGTCACTGTTCATAACATAAAATATGCCTAAATCAAGGACAGGCAGCAGGTGAGCTGCCAGCATAGTCAGTACACTATAGACGACCAATGCTGTGAATAAAAGTTATAGTTGCACTAATAATAATAATAATAATACTACCCATAGTGATATCAGCTGTTCTATAAGGTTTAGCTGGGAAGAAATGTGTGGGCCTTTGATAGCACTAAGCACACAGGTAATTTCAGTCTGTAGACGATTTTCAGAGAGCAACAAATCTACGAGGGGCATTCAAGTCAAACTGCGGCTTTTAATTTTACAGGTATAAAAAGGGATGCTAGTGTGGCGGTACTACACTCAGTAGCACATGTCACAGGCCACTCCAGAGACCGTTAATCAAGATAGCAGACAACAGTTTTAGTGCGTGCATGGAACAACGTGTGGTGATGAAGTTTCTTGTGAACAAAGGTGTAACATTTGTGGATATCTACAGAAGACTTCAAACACAGTATGGTGATGGGATGCTTAGTCACAGCAAGACATCTTATTAATGTAAACATTTCCAAGATGGCCGTACGTCCGTCAGTGACAATGCAGGCTGTAGTGGTTCCCAGCCCACAGCAGTCATTCCTGTAAACATTCAGCATGTGGAACGGCTGATCCTGGATAATCGACGCATAACCTGTCGTGAAAAAACTGCACAAGAGATGAATCTTAAGTGAGTTCCTCGGAGGTCAGCATTTCAGCACTGATGATGAAGTGATGCAGGCTGTCTTAGGATGGTTCAGGTGCACTGACAAACTTTCTATGCTCAAGCTTTCCAGGCATTAGTTAAATGCTGGAATACATGTATAAATATAGCAGGGGAGTATTTCAAAAAATAACTGCAGTTTCCACTCCTTGAAATTTGTTCTTTCATTATATAAAAACTCAAAAGTCCCAGTTTGACCTGAACGTCCCTCGTACACTGCTAAGACAGCTAAGCAAATGCTTCTTACTGCACAGAGAGAGATCTGAGAAGAGTAACAATCCTGAGGTCTGACTTCAGCCCTTTTATACTAGAAACTTCACAGTTGAGATTCCCTTACAGTCTTCCTAATGGGTCCCCCTCCTACCCTTGGCCCCATAGCAGCCTTTGGGCTGTTGTTATACTACTGATTTAGGTTTCTGTTTAGTACGGTAATTGGATATCTGGTTGGAAATATTAGATTTACCCAATGTAAAGGGTAACTTTGACCCACAAAAGTATGAGTAGTGTTTTTTCTACAACAAGAAGATGAATTAGCAATTTTAAGACCAGGGATTTCAGAACTGGTACACTTCAGCACTGTAGTCACTGGTACTGTTAATGTAATGTTAATGATTAGGTTAGAAGCTGGGTCAAGACAGTGTTAGGGTCAGAAAGGGTGGTTGAGCTTTGGACATCTTTTGTTCCTGTTTGATTTCATGTATTCACTGCTGTGAGCCATAAATGATCATTTCTATGCTGCAATGCATGTGTGTAATCACTAGATGTCACGGTATTTGCTATGGTGTTAAGAGCACACGTCTTCAGACCAGGTTTTAGAACAAGGAATAAAAAAGGGATCCCAACTCCTACAACATAAGCCACTCCACTAGGTACTAAACACTTCTCCTAATCATCCTTCTGCATATCTGATTACATTTGCCTAACATTTAAAGTGGTATTAAATCCAACAGAACAAATTCTCCTGCAAATGTAGAAGCTAAGTCCAAAGGCGCTCCGTGTGCTCATTCATCCAGAGTGGGGGCACTCTAACACAGGAAGTGTGCTAGTGGCCAGATCACCAGGTAAAAACAGAGAGAAAAAAAGCCTAAAAAAGAAAACTGATGCAGCCACAATATGTAAAGACTGGTAATCTGCAATATATCATGTTTTTGGGTTTGGGTTTAATAAAGCATTAATCATACTGACTGAGCTTATTGATGAAGTTTAGAAGATTGTTGTCAGAAAGCTGGAGTGGAGAATGGAAGATCCATATCCTTCAAGATGTGCTTTCTGCCTACCACAATAGGATGCCTGGAATCGTATGTGTGTGTTAGGTAGGGGGGATGTCTTAGCAAAATTTATGTAGGGTCTGTCTGTTTCTAGTATCTACTAGATATCCTTTAATCACATAAGTGCATTGCAGTAGAGAGGTCATCTTTTATGGCTTCTGATCGTGAAAACAGTAAATCCAAGTGGCTATGTGGAGAAAATGCCTTCTCCATTCCTTGACCTTGTCTGCAGGTACATAGCAGACATAGACAAGGTAAATTTGGAAAAAGCAATGTTTACAATCACTTGGCCTGTGATCACATCACAGAACAGTGCAATAAAAGGCCCAAGGAAGATTTTATGTGGAAGGCTGCTTTGTATCTCTGGATATATTAAAATAGCTAATGTGTTTTAAAACTATGCGTAACCATTAAATGCACAGAATACCCTGCAGTTTATATTGGGTTATTTCTGTTGTACATTCTTTGCTAATTAATAGGATCTTCAACAAATTCATAACATCTCTCTAATTATTTTTAAGACATGCAATGTCAAAAGCCAATTACTGAATTATTAATTTGTTTATAACATTTATTAAATGTAACATGAAACTGCAGGATGGCAAGCTAAAACTGAGAATGTAAAAACAGGGCTATTAATTAGGTATTGTTCAGTTCTTGAAGACAGGATATCAAATGTATCTCACACATGCATTTGTTGGATGCAATCCAATTAGCGCCCAACACTTTTCAGTTTAAAATATGTCATAAAATTTTGTTATTTTTTAAAATCATTCCTTAGTTTATTTTTTCAAGATGGTCATATAATTCAGCTATTAAATAAATTGAAAATGCTTAATTTGTATTACAACCAAACATTCACTGCAGGTGAATCAATCACTGTACTTTAAAACACATAACATAGAAGATCACCCAAAGTGAATATTTGGTGGATACCCACTGCATTAGAATATTTTGACATGTTTTTTAGTTTAGTGCATGTGCTTTTTGCTGCTTATTGAGTGTTTTTTATTTTTTAAGTGTCGATAGTTTAAAAAAACTCTGGGGGATCTTAGCAAAGGCAACATACAGGGATATGGGAAATGGTATTGACACAAACACACACACACACACACACCCGCACAGGTTTAACTGGATGAACTGATGTCTTTATCCAACTTTACCAACTATATAAGCTGACATGACCATTTTTTAATGCACCGTAAAGAAGGCACATAAGCACCTTTATTTGGTTTTCGACCCATTGAACAGGGTAGGATAGGTTTAAGGATCACAAGCACTGTGCAGTCATATTTCCAGGGGGGCGTGCTGGCCTGCGATGCAAGTGTATAATAACAATTTATCCCTGCTTTAGTAAATTAGCCTCAATACAAGTAAGCCAGAGGATTGTCAGGACATCTATTCAATTCTGTCATGACAGTTGCACTTTAAATGAGTATCTTTTCTGCTTTATGTGAAGTGTCTCCTCTCTAGATCATCCTCTCCCTATATAGTATGTAGGATTTTCACTACAAAAAAATATGCAATAAGCAGGAATTTGTTGTTTAATTTTTTGCAATATTGATATTGTACTGTTTTTTAAACAGTGGGAGAAAGAGCTTAAAATCAGAATTGAAAAGGAAGAAGAAGAAATGAAACAAGAGCAAGTAGAACATAAGAAAAGAGAAGAAGAACATTTCAAAGAAACAATGAAAAAACGGGAGGAAAAACTAAAGAAGACAAGCAAACCTTATGAGCTTCCTTAATATTATGACATGTACATAATAACATATTAACAGGACCACATCACACACTTTATTTAATATGAGTACATATTAAAAAATATACCATTTAAAAAAGAAATACAATTATATTCTTTTTACAACTTGCATTGTAAATAATCCTACCTTCAACAAGATATTAATCCTATCTCAGGTGGCGCTGTCTTGATGCAATGAAAGTTTACCCATATTCTCGATAGCAACCATTGTCTTCTATTTCAGAGTGTAGAAAACGTTGCAGAGACATGAGTCACAAGCAGGGGCGGACTGACAACTCATGGGGCCCCCGGGCAATTGGGGATCATGAGGCCCCTGTGTCCTTGCCCACACTCAAAACACACCCAAAAAAGCCTATAAAAGGTACCAGAGGCATTTTATGAGGCCCTCTAATGACCCCAGGCCCTCGGGCAGTGCTTGAGTGCTCGAATGGTCAGTTCGCCCCTGGTCACAAGTAATAAGCTCTGCAATGAACACACAAGGAGTTATACATAAAAACAGGAGAAAAGAAAATTGGTGCTATAGGTGACATCTCCACTTTTGTGCTCACTTTCTTTCTGTAGTTTTTCATGAATCAGTCCCTATTGCTCGTCTGGTGTTGTCAACTATAGCAATCCCTGTATACTGATTTTTAGGAAAGGGTATCTGTGATATGTCAGAAAAAAGAGGGTGATCGGTGTCTGGTAACAATGTCTATTGGAATTGAAGGTGATTTCTACTCTACCTATAGATAGTTCAAATCCCTCTTCGACTTATTAAAGTTGAACTTTGGACAGGCGGCTAAATACAGTTGAAATACATTCATGAGAATCAACGCTTGCTACTGGATTTATAATTCTGTGCAGGTGCTTTTGAAATAAAAAAAACAATAATGGCAGCAGTTCAGATCAGTCTAAAACTAGCAAAAACAGAAGAAAGGTACACATGGACTGGGCAACATAGAAAACAATTTATAGGGTCCAAGCACACTTTAATTTTGAAATGAAAGTGTGAATAGGGACTTTTTGTGTTGCTTTTGGGCTCTAGGTACCCCATGGGACTTCAATTGCTGCACCAGGACTGGACTGTTGCTCAGTGGTCCAAAGTCCTCTTTTTGGATGAAAGTAAGTTTTGCATTTCATTTGGAAATCAAGGTCCCAGAGTCTTGAGAAAGAATGGAGAGGCACAGAATCCAAGTTGTATGAGGTCCAGTGTGAAGTTTCCACAGTCAGTGATGATTTAGGGAGCCATGTCACCTGCTGGTGTTGGTCCACTGTGTTTTGTCAAGTCCAAAGTCAGGGCAACCCTCTACCAGGAAATTCTAGAGCACTACACGCTTCCCTCTGCTGACCAGCTTTATGGAGATGCTGATTTCATTTTTCATCAGGACTTGGCACCTGCCCACATTGCCAAAAGTACAAATATCTGGTTTAATGACCATGGTATCACTGTGCTTGATTGGCCAGCGAATTTGCTTGACCTAAATCCCATAGAGAATCTGTGGGGTATTGTTAAGAGGAAGATGAAAGACACCAGACCCAACAATGCAGATAAGCTGAAGGCCACTATCAAAGCAACCTGGGCTTCTACAGTTGCAAGAAAAAGTATGTGAACCCCTTGGGATTACGTGAAGTTTTGCATGAATTGGGCATAAAATGTGCTCTGAACGTCATCTAAGTCACAACATAGAAGAACACAGTCTGCTGAACATAATACTACACAAACATTAGATGTTGCTATGGTTTAATTGCACATAACATGTAAACATTCACAGTGCAGGGAGGAAAAAGTATGTGAACCTTTGACTTAATAACTGGTTGACCCTCCTTTGGCAGCAATAACCTCAACCAAACGTTTCCTGTAGTTGCAGATCAGACCTGCACAACGATCTGGAGTAATTTTGGACCACTCCTCTTCACAAAACTGTTTCAGTGTAGCAATATTCTTGGGATGTCTGGTGTGAATCGCTCTCTTAAGGTCATGCCACAGCATTTCAATCAGGTTGAGGTCAGGACTCTGACTGGGCCACTCCAGAAGGCGTATTCTGTGCTGTTGCAGCCATTGTTTTGTTGAATTACTTGTATGCTTTGGGTCATTGTCCTGTTGCATCACCCATCCTCTGCGGAGCTTCAGTTGGCGGACAGATGGTCGTACGTTTTCCTGCAAAATGTCTTGATAAACTCTGGAATTCATTTTCCCATCAATGACAACAATCCGTCCAGGCCCTGAGGCAGCAAAGCAGCCCCAAACCATGATGCTCCCTCCGCCATGTTTTACAGTGGGTATGAGGTTTGGTGTTGGTGTGCTGTGCCTTTTTTTCTCCACACATAGTGTTGTGTGTTCTTCCCAAACAACTCAATCTTGGCTTCATCTGTCCACAGTATATTTTGCCAGTAGTGCTGTGGAACATCCAGGTGCTCTTTTGCAAACTTCAAAAACGTGCTGCAATATTCTTTTTGGACAGCAATGGCTTCTCCGTGGTGTCCTCCCATGTACTCCATTCTTGTTTAATGTTTTCCTTATTGTAGATGTGTCAACAAAAATGTTAGCATGTGCCAGAGATTTCTGTAGGTCTTTAGCTGACACTCTGGGATTCTTCTTTACCTCATGCAGCATTCTGCGCTGTGCTCTTGCAGTCATTTTTACAGGACGACCACGCCTAGGGAGAGTAGCAACAGTGCTAAACTTTCTCCATTTGTAGACAGTCTGTCTTACCATGGACACATGAACATCAAGGCTTTTGGAGATACTTTTGTAACCCTTTCCAGCTTCATGCAAGTCAACAATTCTTGATCGTAGGTCTTCTGAGAGTTCTTTTCTGCGAGGCATGGTTCACATCAGACAGTGCTTCTTGAAACCAGTAAACCCAAAACAGGTGTGTGTTTTTTAAGGGCAGGACAGCTGTCAGCAACACATCCAATATCATCACACTGATTGGAGTCAAGGTTGGCTCACTCCTGGCTCCAATTAGCTCTGGGAGAAGTCATTAAGCTAGGGCCTCACATACTTTTTCCTCCCTGCACTGTGAATGTTTACATGTTATGTGCAATTAAACCATGGCAACATCTAATGTTTGTGTAGTATTATGTTCAGCAGACTGTGTTCTTCTATTGTTGTGACTTAGATGACGTTCAGAGCACATTTTATGCTCAATTCATGCAAAACTCCATGTAATCCCAAGGGGTTCACATACTTTTTCTTGCAACTGTATAACACCCTCAGCAGTGCCACAGGCTGATCGCCTCCATGCCACGCTGCATTTATGAAGTAATTCATGCAAAAGGAGCCCTGACCAAGTATTGATTGCATACTATACTCTTCACGGACATACAGTACTTTTCAGTAAGCCAAAATTTCTGTATTAAAAATCCTTTAAATTAATCTTATTTAATATTCTAATTTTTGAGATACTTAATTTTTGGTTTTCGCCATGTCATCATATTTAAAAGAAAGAAATGCATGAAATATATCACTCTGTGTGTAATTAATCTATATAATATATGAGTTTCACTTTTTGAATTGAATTACTGAAATAAATAAACTTTTTGATGATATTCTAATTTATTGAGATGCAACTGTATATCAATTTTAAAGCAGTTTTAAAGCGTAAAAGTTTTTGACTTTATTGCATCCTATTCATTAACCACTTGAGCTCCTGAGGATTTACCCCCCTTAATGACCAGGCCTCTTTTTGCTACTCGGCGCTGCACTAATTCAACTGATAATTGCGCGGTCATGCAATGCTGCACCCAAACAAAATTTACGTCCTTTTTTTCACACAAATAGAGCTTTCTTTCGGTGTAATTGATCACCTGTGTGCTTTTTATTTTTCACGCTGTAAACAAAAAAGGGCCACAAATTTTGAAGAAAAACAATATTTTTTAATTTCAGCTATAAAAAATATATAGTAAACTCAAAGTTGGTTATAAATTTAGGCCAAAATGTATTCTGCTACATGTTTTTGGTAAAAAAAAAATCCCAATAAGTGTATATTGATTGCTTTGTGTGGAAGTTATAGCGTCTACAAACTATGGTATAAATACTGCAATTTACGCCATTTTTCTGCTATACAGCGCTGCACTAGTTTAGCGGACAATTGCGCAGTCATGCAATACAGTACATAAATGAAATTTACATCCTTTTTTCCCCACAAATTGAACTTTCTTTTTGTGGTATTTGATCGCCTGTGCAGTTTTTATTTTTTGCACTATAAAAAAAAAAGGCTGACAATTTTGAGGAAAAAAAAAACAATATTTTGGACTTTTTGCTATAAAACATGTCCAGTAAAAAAAATTCAAAAATCAAATTTAGTCATAAATTTCTGCCAAAATACATTCTGCGACATGTCTTTGCTAAAAAAAAATCCCAATATGTGTAAATTAATTGGTTCACGTGAAAGTTATAACGTTTACAAATGCGGGAAAGATACTGGAATTTTTTATTTTTATTTATACTAATAATGGCGCCGATCAGCGACATATGGCGGCAATCAGCGACATATGGCGGCGACCAGCAACTTATGGCAGGACTGCGGGACTGCGGCGGACATTTTGACACTGGGGGGGGGGAACTGACTTGGGGTCACTGACATCCCCAGTGACACCAATACAGTGATCAGTGAAAAAAAAAACACTGAAACTGTACTAATGTCACTGGGGAGGAAGGGGTTAACATTTTTAGAATTTGCTGTGTAAGGGGAGTGTTTTACTAGGGGGCGGGGGTGTGTACTGGACGGGGGGAGGGAGGGGGGAGCTGATTGAGGGAGAGAAACTCTGTAGATTCTCACAAGCTGTCAGAGAACTGACACAGAACAGGGCTGTGTGTAAACAATGCAGCCCTGCTCTGTGTCAGCGATCACCGTCAATCGCGGGAAAACGGCCGGTAAAAAACCGGCCCGTGACCCGGCGGCTGACACCCGCTGCTGACACCCGCGGGACAGGTAGGGCAGGCACGCGCCTCGCGCGCGCCTTCTACCTATTTTGAAGGCAGCCGTTTTAAAAACGTGCTTTTGCCTACAAGTGCCGCCCTGCCGCCGTTTATATGCGGTGGCTGGGCGGCAAGTGGTTAAAGTGGTTGTAAAGGCTCATGGTTTTTTACCTTCCTGCATTCTATACATGAAGATAAAAAACCTGTGTGTGTAGCAGCCCCCCTAACACTTACCTGAGCCTCATCCTGGTCCAGCAATGTCCACGAGAGCCTTGGTTCTCCAGGGACTCTCACTCCTGATTGGCTGAGGCAGCAGAGGAAGCCATCAGGAGAGGAAGGGCCAAGCCTCAGCTCTTTGTGTGAATGGACACACAAAGCCCGATTTGGGAGCGAACTTGCTCGGGTGCCCCCATAGCTGCTTTCTGTGGTGCACTCAGCAGGATGGAAGGACCAGGAATGACGATGGGGGACCCAAGAAGAGAAAAATCGGGGCTGCTCTTTGCAAAACCATTGCACAGAGCAGGTGAGTATAACTTAATTTTTTTATTTTAAAAAATGAAGATATAATATCATTTTAATTATAAAAATAAAGGTCAATACATTTCTGACAGACTAAAGTTTTCAAATCAGTACTCACCTTGTCCAAAGATTGCTCCTTTTGTTTGTGTGTCTTTGGCCAATACTGGATAAGTAACTTGAACCCCTTATTGCATAGATTATGGCTATTTATACACATGTCCTTTCTTGTTTTCCATGATGTTTAACATTGAGAAACATATGAATCTGCTTCATACCTCTGTTTCTTAAAACAGCAATTTAGATCTCTTGATCTCTATTTAATTACATGTTGGCATTAGCAGCATTGATTGCAGTGTGTTAAAATGTGTAAATGTTAAAAATGTGTAAAAAACAACTGGTTAAATCTCCATGCGGCTAGAGGTTAGAATCACTTACGTAGCCCTAGCCTAAGGGTGCAGGAGAAGACAGTAGACATCAGGGGCTGACTGACAACTCATGAGGCCCCTGTGTCCTTGCCCAAACTTAACAAAGCCTTTGAAAAAGGTACCAGGGGCATCTCATGGGGCCCCCTACTGACTCCGGGCCCTCGGGCAGTGCCTGAGTTTCCAAATGGTCAGTCTGCCCCTGGTAGACATGTACATACAACTAGGGACTACATGTAACAATGCAAATGGATTCATGGTGTGCAAATCTTATAGCTCTTTGTAGTCTTTGAGTTAATTCTAGCACTTTAGTATTCTATGAAGATAGTAGGAGAATACATTCCTCTTTAAGGCCATCATCATTCAGCAGTGAGCAAGTGTGGTGAACAAAACTTAATTGGCGGAACCAGCTAAGTGCACCTGAATGTTTTTATTCCATCATAAAAAGCAGAAATAAAGACTGTAAGAAAATGCAGACTGTTTCCCTGTAGGATCTGTCCCTTCTTTATTCAGTTTTTACTTCTCTCTTTTAAACAATTCATCCAGGTTCATTAAGTCTTTATTTCAGTCTTTCCTTTTTCTGGCTGACTACATTAGAAGAAAACAGAAACCTCAAGGATTTAAACTGTGACATGTTGTATATTAAATCAGAGAAAAACAAAGGAAATGTTGCCAATAAGCATATGGGAGTATAGATATATAAAAGAAGACCTGCATGGTGATGTACTTTCATTTAAAAAGGTCCAAACATTCTCTTCTTATTTCTAAATATAATAGTGCTCTATTTTGTACATACTATTGCCCCAGGCAGTTAAAATTTTGCAGAATTCAACATTTTGAGGTGTACTGGATTTTTTTACTTTCTGGCTGTCCTCTGCTGATTCCAGCTGTCCTCTGGTGATTTGCAGAGGCTGTATTGAGCACTTCTCCTTCACACAGACTCAGCTGTTGTTTTACTTTGTTTGAGGATATGGGGGAGATTTACTAAAACTGAAGCATGCAAAATCTGGTGCAATTCTGCATAGAAACCAATCAGCTTTCAGCTTTCATTGTCAAAGCTTAATTGAACAAGCTGAGGTTGAAGCTGATTGGCTGCCATGTATAGCTGCACCCAGATTTTTAGTACTCCAGTTTTAGTAAAGTTCTACAGATTAACAGTGTAAAGTTACAGAGGAGGTATAGTGCGAGAATTATTGCTGTTGCTCTGATGTTCGTGGAAATACCTCGCGTGTGTTTTTTGAACACCATCTACATATGTGGGCATGGCCTACATATGCATTCACCACTATGTGTGAGCACGGGGTGACGGGGAAATTTAAACTTTTTTTTTAAAATGTATTTAATGTTTTTGGGGTTTTTTTCACTGTCTTTTGGTTTGAGGTGTTTTAGATGCCAATTTATACAGTTTGTATTGTGAGCAGCTTCTTTATTAAATAAATCAAAAAAATTTTGATTACTACATTGTGAGCTCTGCCTGTGTTTTTTGCTTCATCCTTTTGATGTTTGTTGGATGCTGGGGACCCTGAATGGTGGATGAGACACTGTTTACATTGTATTGAGGTCATCTCCTGATATTTGCCAGGTGTTGTTGGGCAAGAAACACCATAGCTGTGTGACAGCTAGGTTTATGTGGATCTCACTAAATTGAGATCTTCTATTCTGGCAAGTGGCAGTGGAGCACTGGGGTGCATACAAGTTGAAGTTTGCAATGTTGCACCTACGGTGATTTAACCACTGCGACTGCCCGCCCACAATTTACTGTGGACAGGAGGCCACTGTAGGCAAAGTGACGTACCCGCACATCGCTGCCTACTTCCGAATTTAGGACGAGCACATACGCACCCCCTACAAGCGCCCACTGTGATTGTACACAGTGGGAGCCTATCAGCAGGTCCTGGCAAATGAATCATGGCTGGGACCAATGATTGACTTGGTAAACAACACAGAGCTCTGTATAGAGGGAGCAATCTGTTAGTTTCTCATCTCTGAAAAACAGAGAAGAGAAACTGAGAGATCTAGTAGTTGAAGCAGCACACATTACACATAGTTAGGCACACATTTAACCCCTTGATCACCCTAGATGTTAACTCCTTCCCAGCCAGTGTCATTAGTACAGTGACAGTGTATAGTATTATCACTGATCACTGTGTTAATGTCACTGGTGAGGTCATTGGCAGGTAGTCAGTTCCCCCTAGCATCAGTTAGTGTCAGATTGCCCGCCACACTATAGCTGTCCCATTATAAGTCGCTGTTTGTCACCATTAGCAAAATAAAAAAAATAAATAAAAATTCCATAGTTTGTGGGCGCTATAACTTTCATGCAAAGCACTCAATATACACATATTGGGAATTTTTCTTTTATCAAAAACATGTAGCAGAATACATTTTGGCCAAAATTTATGAAGAAATGTGATTGTTGTACACTTTTTGGATATGTTTTATAGCACAAAGTAAAAAATATTGTTGTTTTTTTTTTTTTAACTTTTCAATCTTTTTTCATTTATATCACAAAAAATTAAAAACCCAGTTGTGATCAAATACCAACAATAGAAATTTCTATTTGTGTGAAAAAAATTATATAAAATTTGTTTGTGTACAACATTGCATGACTGTGCAATTGCCAGTTAAAGTAGCCCAGAGTCAAATAGCAAAAAATGGCCTGGTCATGAAGGGGGTAAAACCTTCCAGAGCTGAAGTGGTTATACATTCTCATGGTGGATTTGAAGGAATTATGGACTTGATTTTATACATGTATTTGTTTTTGTATTAAGTTTATACTATATAATTGTGATGAATACACATGTAGTTTTATAAATTAGGTGGTTTGATGTTATAATACTCAAAGTCAGGGGTGAACTGACAACTCATGGGGCCCCCGGGCAATAGGGGATCATGGGGCCCCTGTGTCCTTGCCCAAACTCAAAAAAGCCTATGAAAAAGGTACCAGGGGCATCTCATGGGGCCCCCTACTGACCCCGGGCCCTCGGGCACTGCCCGAGTTTCCAAATGGTCAGTCCGCCCCTGCTCAAAGTAATAAGTGGCTCTAAGAAAAGAAATTTAGCCCTGCCGTAAATGACCTGGTGAAAACCTTGTTAGATTGACTTTAGGGTATATAATTCTACTTGTGCTATGTATTGCACTGGAATAACAAACAGCATAAATACTGAAATATGGAAAACCTCCACATGCTTTCCTTTTAAAGATTATTAAGGAGATTTAATTTTTACAAACTTCATTACTTCATTCTATTTTTTTATCACTTTTAACCCCTTCGTGCCCAGGCCAATTTTCAGCTTTCAGTGCTGTCATACTTGAATGACAATTGCACTATAGACAAAAAAAGAGCACAAATTTTGAAAAAAAATAAGTTTTTCTTTGTTTCTATTATAAAATTTTGCAAAACAGGTAATTTTTCTCCTTCACTGATGTGTGTTGATGAGGCTGCACTGATAGGCAGCACTGGTGGGCACTGATGAGGTGGCATGGATAGGCAGCACTGATGCGGCGGCACTGGTGGACATTTATGAGAAGGCACTGATGATGCTGCACTGATATGCAGCAATGGTTGTCACTGATAGGCGCAACTGATGGGCACTGATAGGCGGCACTGATATGTGGCACTGATGCGCGATGCTGAAAGGCGGTGCTGACTGATGGCACTGACTGACAGCACTTACTGGTGGCTCTGCTGGGCAGCACTGATGGGCACTGATGGTGGCACTTCTGGGCACTGATGGGTGCAACTGCTTGTACAGCACTGATGGGTGGCACTGCTGGGGGGCACTGATGGGTGGCACTGGTAGGTAGCACTGCTGAGCACTGGTGGGTGGTACTGCTGGGTGGCACTGCAGGGCACTGATCATCAGGGCACTGATGATCAGTGCCGATCTGTTCTGTCACATTTGCCAGTTATTGGCAATACTTTCCTTTCCACAGCATGAGGAAAGTGCTGCCAATAACTGGCAACTGTATTTACTCTGTGGTCTGCTGTGTCATTGGACACAGCTGAACATGTGGTAAAAAGCTGCTGTGATTGGCCTTTAACCTCATCATGTGATCAGCTATGTCTATAGGAGATCACGGAGATCGCCGGGTGCGTGTTGCTGGGGGTGCATTAGAGGGTGCGTTCTGCGAGGATGTCATATGACGCCCTCCAAGAACTGGACAACCGCATCATTTGGCTATAGCGTGGTTAGCAAGTGGTTAAACCATAAAATATATTTCATGATTTTAACTAATTTATTTAGAGGAATTTTAACACGTCACTAAAGTACAGCGTATTATATACAATACATACTAATAGGACATCCTTGGGTGTGTAAATAAGGGACAGTGAGACTGAAGATTTCATCAAAGTTGAGGTCTATGGAGCAAAGAATGTTCACAGTGAGAGTCAGTATAGTTCTATACAATATTAGGTAGTAGATTCTTGAGGTATGTTGGAGTCACATTGAGAAAATTGTAGGGTGCCTCAATGGGTAACATACAAAAGGAGCAAGTATGTTAGAGAAAGATAAGATTGTTAAGGAATAGGCCAGCCTTTTGCAACAAGGGTGCCTTCAGGTTTCTTCAAGGGTGCCTTGATAAAATGCCTACAAATTGTCCCTAAAATTGTATACAAGCCAGCCGGTGGATCAGGCCTACCTTTTAGTTGTTACAGAAAGCCACAGGTTTTCATTGTGCACCATTACAACTTAACAAAACAATGATGTCATCAGTTGAGGAACTCATGCACCTGCACAGTATCCTTTGTTTTCCCCTCCCCTGCCCCCGCTCCATCAGCACTGGGGTCACATTAGATGAGTGAGAGAGAGAACCTGAGGAGGAAGGGAAACAATGGAATACTAGTCAGTACCAGTGTGCAAAAGTCTATTTGCTATGGAAGAATAAATCACCTCTGACGCTGGATGACCCACATGTGCAGATGTTACTGCGTTCTGTAAATTTATTAGTTTAGTTTTTCAGGGTTTTTTATATTTTGTAATGGGTGCCTCAAGATTGCGTAGAATTTTAAAGGGTTCCTTGACTGAAAACACTGGAATAGACAACAAAGTGTAAGGGGAAGAGAGGAGAGTAAGGGAATAAGGGTTAGGAAAAAAGCAGCTCTCAACCAGGATGCCTTCATGACCCTCCAGGATGAGGTTCTGTCACCACCAGTAGGGAGCCCCATCAGGGTTCCCAACCTCAGTAAATTCAGGGACAGTTTGTGATTTTTACATCTGTCCCTGAAATGTTACCAACATCCAGTGTCTGTAAAAATCCTGAGGCTACAACTGCTACACCTCTCCACTGCCTCCTCAGCCAATGGGAACACATGTGCAGCAGCAGCAGCAGCATTGTGTTAGAATAGGCTGCTTTTTTAGAGTGCTGATGTGTGTCTGTGTATATATACTGTGTGTGTGTCTGTCTACAGTATGATCCATGGGTGCCCACTGCCGCTCAACAGAAGTCAATCTACCAATCGACTTCTATTGAGCAGACATGTTGGAAAAAAAGCCACTCGATCAGCAGCTCTGTTGCCAACCATCCATAGACAGGAGAATATTGCACATAAAAATTCTACTTGTTGCCATTTGGAGCCAACGGAAAGGGTGAACTGCTGAGCTCGGCCTCGGATCAGGCAGCAGGGTGTGCCTGAGTGCGCACACATGTTGTGATATCATGGCACACATCAAACATGGCTTTTATTCACATGCCCCACTGCTCGATCTGAGGCTGGCCATGGCAGTTCACCATTCAGCTTCCTCCAAAAACTGCACATGCACAGTTCAGAGTCAGCAACAAGTTGATTTTTTTTAAAAGGCTTTTTCCACCAGCCACTTGCCACACCAAGGACAAAGGTGAAAAGGTGTGTGTAAGGGGACATTGATGGAAGGGGGCAATCTGGGGGCTCTGATGTAAGGTGACACTGTGGGGGTTCTGATGTAAGGTAACACTCTGGGGGCTCTGCTGTAAGGTGACATTCTGGGGGCTCTGATGTAAGGTGACATTCTGAGGGCTCTGATGTAAGGTGACACTCTGGGGGCTCTGCTGTAAGGTGACACTCTGTGGGATCTACTGTAAGATGGCAGTCTAGGGGTCTGTTGTAAGGTTGCACTCTGGGGGCTTTGCTGTAAGGTGACATTCTGGGGGTTCTGATGTAAGGTGACCCTCTGGGGGCTCTGCTGTAAGGTAGCATTCTGGGGGCTCTGCTGTAAGGTAACACTCTGTTGGATCTGCTGTAAGATGGCAGTCTAGGGGCTCTGCTGTAAGGTGACACTCTGTGGGATCTGCTGTAAGATGGCAGTCTAGAGGCTTTGCTGTAAGTTAGCACTCTGGGGGCTCTGCGGTAAGGTAGCAGTCTGGGGGCTCTGCTGTAAGGTGACATTTTGGGAGCTTTTCTGTAAGGTGACACTCTGGGGGCTCTGACGTAAGGTGGCACTCTGGAGGCTCTGCCAGAAGGTGGCAGTTTGGGGGCTTTGTTATAAGGTGGCACTCTGAAGTAAGATGGGCCTCTACGGACTGTGAAGTATAGGGAGAATTCTGGGGACTTTGATGTAAGGGAGGACTCTGATGTGAGCGTGGCACTGATTCTGACTGCTGCACTCTATATGTTGTTTTGTTTGTTACTCACTCCTGACCCCTGCATTCTAAACATTTATACTGTAAATAAACCTGACCAAGGTGTTCATTGTCTCAACAGTTGCTGATTTTAATTAAGTTTTTCTGTAAGGTAGGCTCAGTAAGACAAAAAAATCTTCTTTTGTGCATAAAAACATATATATTGGAAAAATGTATTTTAAAAACTAATGACCCTTTGACTGAAATTTGTTTATGTCTGTTAAACTGTCAGTTGCGATCAGAGTAGTTCGAATTTCTATGGATACAGGAACTATGGTATATGTTTGCACTGTATACAGGAGACACAGATTCTGCTCAATCCACCTTCAAGACTCCCCCACTGGCCATGCCCATTATTCACCTTAGTGAGCTATGTGCACTGCAGGTCATCATTTCCCTGATAGGGGCCTCAATGCATCACTTTGCCCAGGGGACCATGATGCTGTTAAGGTAGCACTGCCCATGGGAGGCTTCTGGTGCCTTTATTGGGTCACCAGTTTTAGGTCTCCTGCCGCTCTGCATGTCGCCGAGCTCAGTGCCCCTCTGTGTGGGCCTAATGTTGTACCATAAAGATGGCTGCCACGTGGAATCCATCTCTACGCCTGGTGGCCCCATAATCCCCTATTGCCCAGGGGCCCCATGAGTTGTCAGCCTGCCCCTGAACACTGCTTAGATTTAAATAAAAATACATTCATGATATAATAATGATTACTGAGCTCTATTTAAATTATGCTTTTGATAGCTGCCTGGAGTTTAGCTTCAAATAATACAAAAATGCACCAACACTTAATCCAGCTTGTCAGCACGGAATAGCTAATTAAACTGTTGTAAGAAGTAGCAGAGGTTTTGTGGCATACATTTGCAAATACTACACACACACACACACACACACACACATATATGATTTGGAGGGGTGTCCCAATACTTTTGAATAATTTGGCAATATTCTGTATATATATATATATATATATATATATATATATATACAGTATATATAGTATGTATGTAAATTGAAAGCAGGCTTACCCCTGGAGGCAGCCACCTCCAGGTAGAGCAACACATCAGAAGCCTGGATTAATATCTTTTTTTTATAATTGTCATTTTTATTTAGTTTTTTTTTATCAAAGAGTTAGGTATTACAACACAAATTGAGTCAGAAACTACACAAGTTTGTACATGGAATATGAGACATGCAAGACTGAATAACATGGAGCAATTCAAAGCCAGAGATTATCAGTCAACATCAGTAACACATATTATATCGCCTACGTCTGTTATCACCAGCCAGTAAGGTAACATTCATATATTGCTTAGAATCAGAGTAAGTTGTTATATCAACAGTGATACACAAAACAGAAGTAGTCAATAGTATATAATGTACAGTGTATGTATGAGTAAAAAAAAAACAAGAATGTAACAGAGAAAACAGAAAATAGTTCCTCTACATCAGTGGTCTCCAAACTGCGGACCTTTGCCTGCTTTAATCTGGCCCTTGGGGCATTATTGCCTCCACTGTCAGCAACAGTAAGGCATAGTTCCTGCCACCAACAATGGGGCAATATTACTCCCACTGAGACTAACGATGGGGCACTATTCATCCCACTGATGCCAATTATGGGGCACTATTCCTTCCACTGACACCAACAATGGGGCTCTATTACTCCCACTGACACCAATGACAGGGCACTATTCCTCCCCCTAATAAAAAAAGTGGGGATGCTGTGTACTCTCACTGACACCAGGACATCTTCTACCCGCTGACCACAGTTTGGCCCCTAAAGTTTGAAGGACAGTAAATTGGCCCTTTGTTTAGAAAGTTTTGAGATCCCTGCTCTACATCATTTAAGAGTTAGAAGCCCAGACTGTCTTATGTCAGCTTAAGATCACCAAATAAAAAAAAAAAGAAATGACAGCTGCTCAGATCAATTTATGAATAGCAAAAAAGACATCACATCTGAGTACAGCAAAGCACTAAAAGATATAATAAGTCCTTAAATTCAGTCCAGCTTGTTAAGTGCAAAATACATTAAACTGTTTAAATATTTCTGTCAAAACATAGGTTTTTATTGTATACACATGTGAAGCCATACTGTCATGTCAAGGCATCTCTGACAAGTGTGGTCCTTAATTCTAATTTAACCACTTTAAGTACTGTCTGGCCACCATTTTGATTTCACAGTAACATCTGCCATTTTTATTGTACTGCCAGTGTTACATTAGATGGCACTGATTTCTTTCAGACATTTACTGTTTTGAAATGGCAGACCACTGATGGTATTAATGGTTAATATGGAGACCTGTCACTCTTGATCCCATTCATTCGCTACTGTACACCCCCTGCATCTGAAGCTGCAAACTGTGACTAGTAGGAATGGATGGCTGCAGAATGTGCTTGAGCCCAAGCACGCAAATATGTCTGGCTTTTACATTTTGTATTAAATGTACCCCTTAGAGATGCATGTGTCAGTGATGAGTTAACAGCTCCCTTGGTCTAAGATACATGAATAAGAGACAGAACATTAATAAATTATTATTGTACTTATTTAACCTAGTTGCATCCACTCTTCTGATCCAGAGCTTTCTTTTCATCTAAAGCCACACATTTTCTATTTTGTAGAAATAAATCTGCAGATTAGTACTCTGGATTTCAGCAGCACATTCTCAACACAAATATAAAATGAGAACTGAAGCAGCAGCACCAGTAAGAACCGTACATATTTCAGGATTACATTTAAGTATCAAGTATTAACTTTCACATTACATAAAAAACCACATGACATTTCTCAAAATAATAAAAAAGATCAGGCTTATAGTTCTGATGATGGCAAGGCAGACATATTTGCTGAAAATCCAACGCTTGAAATCCTTTTTTAATTAAAATAAAGTCAAAGTTGAAACATGAGAATTGCAAATAAAGATCAGTAAGTTTTCTAACATATTTTATACATGATAATTTTCAATTTGCTGTTAATTAGAGTGAAATCATTCATTTTTCCTGCAGTCTTTTCTGGTTTGTGTTTCACAACATGTAAACCAAATTAATAAAATATAATATAAGCTTTAACATGCTAGTGTAATTTCAAAATTGTTTTCATTTTTTCTAAATCTGCATTGAAAGAATAGTTGGTGACTTTGGAATGAAGGTTTGAGCACTTCTTGTTAGGTAACAACTGTCTTTCATTTGTGCTCCTGCATTGTCACCCTGTCACACACACCCCAGATGGAGACTACAGGAGATTGCATACATTGCAAAGACAAGATCCACAGTTGACTAGAGGAAGGTTGCCTACAGGTGTGGGTTCAGTGTTAGCTGAGTTAGCTAGTCTGCCCAGGTTAGGGAGGGATATTGCTAGCTCTGCCGTTCCGGCTATCTCTGGGTTTTGCTTCTCCTCTGTGCTGTTATAAAAAGCGGGAGGGCTCTGCTCACAGAGCTCCAGCCACATGGGTATAGAAGCAAAATGCATAAAGAGGAAGATGTAACCCTTTACAGCCAGCAGCCACCCAGGAGCTCCTAGGGCTGAGTTTCCTGCAGAGTGTGAGTGCCAAGATGCTGTGACACCATTCAGTGGAAGGGGACTGATGGGTTCAGCAGTTCGCCCATAGATGCCGACCCATTCGAAGCACTGGCAAGCATGGACTATTACTAGAATTGCACTTTCTCTTTTCCAAGGTAGGCCTGGGCAGCCACCAAACAGTCAGACAGTTAGGGATAGGATGTTTAACCGCCTCCCGCCCACCACATAAGGAAATGATGGGCACAAGGCTGTTCTCTCATTCTGGGAGGACGTCATATGACGTCCTCTCACACTAACTGCGCATGTGCGCCCCCAGGGTTGGTGGTGCCCTGGGACACAGAGGATCACCGATCAATGGAAAGAGCTGATGACATCGTCTCTGTCATGTGATCAGCTGTGTCCAATCGCAGCTGATCGCATGTAAATAAGGAAATGCCGCTTATCACAAGCTGTCACACTGACAGTTCGAGAGGAGAGGAGAGTCGATAATTGGCATTACTCAGAGGGGACATGTACACTGATCATCAGGGCACTGATGATCAGTGTCTAAAATATTAGAAGTATCTTGCGAGCCAGAAAGCAGAAAAAAACTCCTTATTATACACTTTAAAGTTGGATCGCAAACCTCTAGCACATAACTACCAATGTGACAAAATGTGAATAAAGTCATATAGTGTTGCGCTCCCAAACCACCAATTAATATACTTAAATCACTCAATCTCTATCCTGACAATCATATACAAAAGAATATATAAATGATAAAAATATGTAAAAAATCATCAAAAATATTTTTCATCAAAAAATATTGAATTAAATTAATAAAAACCTCAATAATTAAAAATAATATCTGTGATTAAACATAAATTATAAATAATAATAATCTTATACTTATATCAATTCAAATAATTCATGTGCATAATTGAATAAAAACAACAGTGAAAAAATAGTGAAAAAAATGTCCCATGTAATAAAAGTGACTTTGTGCTGAAAGACCTTCAATCTATATTGCTTATAAATCCGTGACTGCTTGTGAATCCTCCCAAAAGTGCAGATGTACGCTCACCTCCTTATAAGCCTGCAATTAGGCTATATATGCTTTCGGTTCTCCTCCTTTGGAACCTACTTGATTGGAACTCTTGCTTTGAGATAACAGATATCCGTAATTAACGATGTGTGCTATGGGATAAATCCCTTCTCCAGAGGATACAACTCCTCTATATTCTCATCTCCATGCGACTCTCCACATAGAAAAAAGATCTCGACATGGTGTTTTATCTTTTATAAAGATCGGCTTTATTGGCTCAGAATATAGCACTCACATATGTTGTATTCAGACAATGGTAACACGAATGTGAACCGAATCCTCCGCTGACTGTCGGAGCTATGCACCCGTGGTCCGGCAAATGAACTGACTCCCTCCGAGTGACGTTACAGTCCCACCCCATTCAGTGTGCCCTGATGATCAGTGTAGCACCATCAGTGCCACCTGTCAGTGTCCATCAATGCCACCTGACAGTGCCCATCAGTGCCACATCAATGCCACATATCAGTGCCTACCAGCACACATCATTGCCACATATCATTGCCCATCTGAGCTGCCTTTCAGTGCCACCTATCAGTGGCAGTCAGTGCCACCTATCAGTGCTAGTCTGTGCCGCCTATCAGTGCTGCCAATCAGTGCCAGTCTGTACCACCTACCAGTGCGCATCAGTGCCGCCTATCAGTGCCCGTCAGTGCCACCTAACAGTGCCAGTCAGTGCCGCCTATCAGTGCTAGTCAGTGCTGTCTATCAGTGCCACCTAACAGTCCCAGTCAGTGCCGCCTATCAGTGCTAGTCAGTGCTGTCTATCAGTGCCACCTATCAGTGCCAACTATCAGTGCCATAAATGAGTACTGCCTTTCAGTGCCCATCAATGATGCCTGTCAATACCCATCATGATAGGCGGCACTGACTGGCACTGATAGGTGGCACTGATTGGCAGCACTGATAGGTGGCACTGATTGGCAGCACTGATAGGTGGCACTGACTAGCATTGATAGGTGACACTGAAAGGCAGCTCAGATGAGCACTGATATGTGACATTGATGTGCACTGGTAAGCACTGAAATGTGGCATTGATGTGGCACGGATGGGCACTGTCAGGTGGCATGGATGAGCATGCCATTGTTCAGCATTAGCATGGATCAGCGTGACAGCTCGTGAGGAGAGAAATGCCGATAACCAGCATTTCCCTATTTACATGCGATCAGCTGTGATTGGACACAACTGATCACATGACCGAGCTGACATCTTTGGCTCTTTCCGTTGATCGGTGATCTGCTGAGTCCGAGGGACACAGCGCACCGCCGATTGCCGCGCATGCACGGTTAGAATGGGAGGACGTCATATGACGTCCTCCCAGAACGAGAGAACCGCCTTGCGCCCATCATTGTACTATATGGCGGGCGGGAGGCAGTTAAACTCAATGGGTTGTATTACAACGTGAGGATTTACATACAGTATACTTTAAAATACAAAGAAACGAAAACTGTTTTGTGAGCAAAAAGAAAAAAAAAAACAACACATGGCAATTATTGATTATACATAGTACTTTCGCATACTAAATATTGTCTTGTTATGGTTTGGATCTGCTTCAAACTATGCTCATTGGCACCATCAGAGCACAACTCTCTAGTGTAAACTGTTGCTGTCTCATCCCATACTGAAGTTAGTTTTTCCCATTCTTAATGGGATCATCCCAGAATCAATGGTTGGCTCAATCTTCTTTCCTTTAAGGAAATTATTATTGTATTGTTGAAATGAAATTAGGTACTTCAAGATCAGTTATAATGTATTAGAGCTTCTATGATCCCTGTTTATTGAATCTTGATTATAATGAATAGTGGTCGCCCTGAAATATAACTTCAAAACACACTAAAGCATCCAACATATAAGTCCCAAAAAAGTTCTCATGGTTTCTCCATACACCCTGGTGATATCTTCTTTTTATCCACCAATTCTCAATTTTCCTCAAACCGATACATCCTCTTCCACTTTTACCCTTTACACAGCTAAAGTCCCAAAAAGTTCTCATGGTTTCTCCATACACCCTGGTGATATCTTCTTTTTATCCACCAATTCTCAATTTTCCTCTTCCACTTTTAATACCTCAAAATAAATAAACTATACATAGTGCATTATCCTTATAATATAACACAAATACTGGTGATGTGCACACATCAAGGTGTTCAAAACAAGTGCCCCCGGTGATCATGTATACATCCTCTTAACACAACAAAGTTCCCTCTGCAGCATGCCCTTATGTAGCAGCCATCCTTCTGCTCCCCTTCTACTTGGATCACCTTCCAGAGGGCCAGCATAACATTTTAGGCCTATGTACCTAGGCCTTTCCTCTAGCTATAGTTCCTGCTGCCTGGAAGGCCCAGATAACAGCACACATTCACCAAAAGCCAGAGTTTGGGAGGCGAGAGAGGAAGTTCCCCAAATCTATATACCGTTCACCAGCATGTGCCACAAGCCATAAACCTCCTAAAGGCTTGCCAGGGGAAATATAAATGTTCATAACTCAGTATATTGTTACTGTTGGGACTCTCCCCAGGTGGCAAAAGGAAGCAAAAGACTACCTGAGTTTTGTGGAAGTTACAGGAAGGTAGACTATACGAAACAGTCCAGTTTCCATAGAGTCTGCTTATACTACATTTATAATAAAAGCTCTCCTGCATATGGAAGGCCCACTACAGATAAATAGGCAAGCTTACATAAATAAATGAATGAGTAGTTTAGCTATGTTTTAGATACCCTGCAGTTTAGTCCTCATGCACACTGGATGTTTTTACAGTGGCTGTTTTGGGCTTTTGACATTTTTTTTTACTACAGTCAGTAAACTCCCCAGCATGTTATCCTATGTGTCCATGCACACATAGACTGTAATCAATGTTTTTTGGCTGGAAAAAACCCAGAACTAGTGGGTGTCTAGAGGAGTTTTTTAGCTGTAAAAATGCTCTAATGCTGAAAAACGAGGCAAAATGCGGTAAATCAGCATTTTTGGACTTTTTTTGATTTACAAAAATATTTTTTTTGGTAAAAAAAAACCCCTTAAAAACGCAAATGCGGAAACAACATGGCTAAATGCTAATACAAAAATGCTAAAAATGCTGAAAAACTCACGTTTTTAACGTGACTTTACACAGCTAAATTTACCAACATTATTAAAACGGCCCGTGTTCATGGAGCCTCATGTGATAATATTTGGTGAATTATTAAAAATACAAAATGCATAAGCGTTTAGACAAAACAGATAACCTATAGATAGAGGTATCATGTCATACTGACACAAAATTATTGTCTACTCTTACCTACAACTAATTTACTATTTGTCCATATTGGTATCGTAAATTAGTGACCTTGTAGGTAGGAGTGTTAGGACGTTTACATGCATTTTAACACACACATTGGAATGGAGTGCGTTTTACATATATGCTCTGCATTTTTATTCAAACCAAAAATGCATGACACATAAAAACTTGTATTAACACATTCAAAATGTATCACATCACACCACAAAGTATAATAAAAATTATTGTGTATGCATAAAAAATGGACATTAAGAAATAGATAAACGATAGATGTGAACCTAGCCTTACCCTAGGTTCACATTTATGCTGATTTTAGTGTGTTTTTCAGTTTGCAGAAACACACTACAATCCATTTTACATGATTTCCTATGGAACTAGTTCACATCTGTGCATTTTGAGCTGGAGCAGATTTTTTAAAGGGTCAGGGACTTTTTGCGGTTTTGGAGCAATAGACTTTAATGGACCTGAATAAGAAACGCAAGGTATGCATTTTTTTGTGTTTTTCATGCTTTTTGCATTTTTCACATGTATAGCAGCAAACACCTCCCCTTAAGAATTAAGTTCCCAGGGTGCCTACAAAAGCAGGAAGTGAGGCAAGCCAGGAAGAGGGGCAAACCAGGATGGCAAGATGGTCAAGACAGAGGTCATTATCAGTTTTGTGAGGCACAGAGCTTATTTGTATAGCCCTGCAGATCCAAACTTCAAAGATAACAGAAAGAAAAATGATAGATAGATAGAGATTGCCAGAGAAACCTACCCACAATGGGAAAATATTCTGAGAAACAGACAGAGACCAAATATAAGTAGCTGTTCCAGTGCACATGCCAGTGTATCTTTCCAGGCTCCAATTTATGCTTTTTTGTTACTGTATTTATTGGTGATATCTGTGTTTTGACATCAGCTGTCTCCAAGCTACAGGGCAGGGGATGGATACAGCCTGTGTTTGAATTTATCTGGCCCTGGGAAAATGTTTTTTTTTTTTTTTTTTTTGCATCTTTCATTATAATTTGTTAAAATGTTTTGTTATTTTTCATTTGTTTTTTTCCCTTTATGTTGTCAGATTTTTTTTTATATTTATTTGGTATTTTTTAAGGTTTTTTTGTTTATTTTGTAATATTTTATAACCTTTTTTAGTATTTCTTAGTTTTTTTTTGTACATTTTTGAGGATTTTTAAATTTTTTTTTTTGTATTTTTTACTATTTTTTGTTTATTTTTGGATATTTTTAAATTTTTTGTTTTGTTCAGTATTTTTTTCATTTATTATTGGGTATTTTTCCTTTGTTGTTGTTTTTTTTAGTCTGTTTTTCATTTTTTAGTACATTTTGTGTTTATTTTTTGACAATTTTTAAATATAATTTTTGTTTGTTTTTTGATAAATTATTTTTTTAAATTTATTTTGTAAATTAAAAAAAAACCTGTTTTCTCTCCTTTTTCTTTCTTTTTCCCCTTTTCTCTTTCTTTCTTTGTTTTCTCTTCCTTGTTTTTGGTTTTATTTTAAAAATTTTTTTAATTAATGTTTTTTTTCTGCTTACATTTTTCTATATGCAGCATGAATATTTTTTACAATAAAGAAATTAAACATATACAGATTTTAATTAGCAGTAGTTACCTCAGCTACCACATAATGCTGTGCTTGGTGTAACTTTCTCAGAAGGGACAACTGCAGATTGCAGAGGACAAAACTCATGCATATTGCAGAGGATTTTTCAAAACTGGTTGAACACCTTAAACATTATGAAAGAAAATACATAGAAATGATTTTAACTGAGCATTCTTTGTTTATAATCCAGATCTATTTAAAAAGGTATCAGAAAAAAATCAATTACGTTGCACAGAATATTTCTTTTATTTTGCAAACATTATATAATAGCATCAAGTTGCCATGGCAGCTGCCCTGTTGACAGCATGAAGTAATCAGTGAATGCATCCCGGATAATGGCACTACTCCTGCTGCCCCGGGTTGCTGTTAATTGTGCTCTTGTCATGTTATGAGCAAGCATGTCCTCTAACTGAGATCCATCATTTTCACTGATAAAGTTATGTAGGGCACATGCTGCTTTAACAGCCGTTTTAGCATGATCCATGTTTAGGTGGATGGGAGCCTGCAACAAAGCCATTTATTAGCAAGGATGCCAAAAGCACACTCCACCACTCGCTGTGCCCTAGTGGGGCAATAATGAAACACCCTCCTGTCTATATTCAATGAACGACTAGAAAAGGGCCTAAGCCAGTGCTCACCGAGTGCAAACGCTTCATCTTCTACAAAGATGTAAGATAGAGCAGGATCTTAGCGGACAGTTATTTGGAAGGCCCAGTTGATTTTTTTTTTTTTGCAACAGCTGGCCAATTGTTGTGTGAGAAAAAATACTGGAGTCAGAGATGCTCCCATAAGACTCTATA